ATACGGGTTTTGAATAAATTATAAATCAAATTAAGTTCATTGCTTTAAAATTATTATTTCTTGAACTTTACTATAAAACCTGTAATGTAAATTAATAAACAGTGTGCAGCACAGAAGTCACTTATGAAGTTTACACGTGTCGGTGTTACTTATCATTGTTTAGTCCATTTCATTGAGTATAATTCTATCCTTACGATTCGGAAGATTCTCTTTAAAAGTTTAAAATTGGTATAGCCATGGTTAATATCTGTGATTAAAAAAAAATGCGTTTCGGAAAACTTGTGTTGAAAACGGATTTATTTGTGTGTGAAAAGAGCAAAGCTTGTGCATTTTAATAAATTTTGGTTGAAGTAAAGTAACTGCAGATCGCCAGTCCTTGCGCTATGAATCGTCAAATTACACATGGATCTAACGAATATTTAAGAATTGAAGACTGATTAATGTACATGTAAAATAAATGCCCCAGCGTTTTGTACTAAAGTCAAACCTAAAAATTTTAAGATATTTTTGAAAGATTTAATTTACTTAGAGAAAATAATATTTTCTTACTGTTGTAGAATGGTTTGTATATACCAATTATTTGCCTATGACTGCGGGGTCAATGGTTCACCGCGGTGTGTCCCTTTAGAATTTCTCGGCAGCGTGTAATCGAAAGATAGATTACGTAATGGTAAACACACTTTAAAAAAAGAATCTTGGTTCCAGGTGAATATAAGAATCGCGCAGTAAATAATTGTGTATTATTTGACTCTTAAAAGTTTTTTTTTTTTATGAAATCCAGGCGTATATTGTTTCCGTTCATATTCTTTATGTTCATATTTAAACGAATAAAAGATACTCGTACTTTTTTCTATAACTCTTTCTCTTGGAAAGATCTTTATTAATAAAAGGAAAAAGATACCATCGAATACTCTGAACGGGAAACAAAGAACACGTTTAAAACCTAATTTAAAATAAGAGATAAGATACAGCGTGGTAAAATATTTAATACTTACGGCAAGTTTATTTCAATTATACGCATGAAGAGTTCTTCAATATCAAAATGAGAACGGGTCCTTGTTTACGCTTAATACGGATCTAGCTTTCTTACCTACCATACGTAAGACTCGAACAAAATAATATTTTCATGGGACAGAGATAGTATAAGAAGGAACAATTTTATCAAGAATTAATTTAACCATTCTGTGGTGGGTTTTTTTGTGTATGACTGTGGGTCGCTAGATCACACGCCGATTGATTCCCGGTGACCGACTTTGCCCCGCCGCTATCGACGGAGGCGCGTTATATAATTGTAAACAAAAAAGGTGAATGTTAAAGCCGTGCACTTAATGGCTGTGAATAGTATATGTGCTTTTTAGTTATGTTTTATTTTCTAACTATATTGTTTGCTTTTATGTGATAAGAAGAAAAGATGATATTTTCTTCCCTTTTTAGTATACTTCGTTTATACGATTTTTTAAAAAAAAAGAAATAAAAGGGAAAGTTGTCAGTGAATAAACATGATAATTTGTAAGAAAAAAAGCACAAACACTTCGAGAATTTTATTCTGAAGAATATTAGCTTCCAATGTAGCCATGCTTATTATTTTTTAGTAAGCTTGCTTTGGTTACACGCATGAGGAGCTCTCGTTTACGTGCTGAGTGAAAATAATTAACTGTGCATATATAGGTCATGCACCAGCTCATTTAAAACAAGACTCGAACACAATTACAATTTCATGAGATCAGTAAGATGTTAAAGCACAACTTTATAATCGATAGTCATTTCGAAATTTTTTACCGTTTTTGAGTTATAAAGCAAAAACTTTCAAGGTCCCTTGATCCCTAATTATAGGGGCCAGCCCCTTTTGAATATTATTATCTGAAAGCCCTTGCAATTATGCACAACTTTTGTTCATTATGTCTTAACAAAATATCTTCAAGATAAAAAGGAAAACATGTGTAAATTTTCGCTCTTTTAGGCGTTCTGATTTTTGACCCCTATATAGCGCCATTGTGAATACAGAAATCGAAAAACAAAATCCGATGTGCACAACTTCAATCCTTCTGTTACCTAAAATCAGTAAAAATTCTGATTCAGCTTTTGTGGTCTCTGAGCCTTTATCCGGAAACGAAAGCCTATAAATTTTCGTTGAAAGGGAAATAACTCAAAACCGGAAGTGACTTTTTGAAATTTTAGTCAGCATTCTGGTAGAGTTTATAAACGTCTATAACCTCTGAAAATTTGAGCGAAATCCGTTGAGAAATGAGTGAGATATGAGGCCTCAAAGTTGCGGTCTAGGAAGTAGAAGAAAAAAAAAGAACTAGCATCGTTTTAGATAACTCTGGGACTAGCGTAAAAATCACAGAGCGGTAATGTTGACCTCCGGAATGTATATAGGTCAATGCATGCGCGATCGATAAACAGGTTGCACAACTGTAAACAAAGCAGTCAAGGTCCGAGGAAAATTCACGATGCATGAATAAAATGACAGTGAATTATTTTAAGCTTGATTTTTTTTTTTTTTATAAATAATGCAACATTGAGTATCAATCGAATGAGAGATGATAAGTATTTTTCCTATCTCCCTTCTTGTAATTCAAACTAAATACAAGGAGAAAGTTGTCTCTGAATAATCTGTATGGCATCCAGCTAGAGAATACGTTAAAAACTTTATTTCAACAAAGTTTAACATTCAGTTTAGTTAAGTATATTATTCTTATCCAGTTTATTTCAGTTATACGTGTTATACGCGTACGCATAAAGAATTCTTCACTTGCCGTATAAAATTAATCAGTTACCTGTACATAGAGTTTGCTGCTCATTCAATAACACAAGATTCGAACAAAATAACGTTTTCATGAGATCAATAAGATGTTAAAGAACCCATTTCAAATCGATAACCATATCGAAATATTTACCGTTTTTGAGTTATAATGCAAAAACTATCGAGCGCCCTTGAACCCTAATTTGAGGGGCCAGCCCCTTTTTAATGATGTCAAATGATAGATCTTAAAATTATGCACAATATTTGTGAAATATGTCTCAACAAATTATTTTTAGTTTAAAAGATACACAAGGAAATATATGTAAAATTTGGCGCTTTTAGGCATTCTCATTTTTGACACCCATCTAGCACTGTTTGGAGCGCAGAAATCGAAAAAAGAAAAACCGATGTGCACAACTTCAATTCTTCTAGTATTTAAATGCAGTAGACATTCTGCTCCAGCTTTTGTCGTTTCTGAGCCTTTGTCTGGAAACGAACAGTACCAAATTTTCACTTAAAGGGAAATAACTCGAAAGCGGAAGAGAATTTTTGAAATGTATGAAAACATTTTAATAGAGTTTTGTAACGTTCAAAACCTCTGAAAATTTGAGCAAAATCCGTTCAGAAATGAGCGAGTTACGAGGTCTCAAAGTCAGCATTCTGGTAGAGTTTATAAACGTCTATAACCTCTGAAAATTTGAGCGAAATCCGTTGAGAAATGAGTGAGATATGAGGCCTCAAAGTTGCGGTCTAGGAAGTAGAAGAAAAAAAAAGAACTAGCATCGTTTTAGATAACTCTGGGACTAGCGTAAATTAATCAGTTACCTGTACATAGAGTTTGCTGCTCATTCAATAACACAAGATTCGAACAAAATAACGTTTTCATGAGATCAATAAGATGTTAAAGAACCCATTTCAAATCGATAACCATATCGAAATATTTACCGTTTTTGAGTTATAATGCAAAAACTTTCATGCTCCCTTGACCCCTAATTTGAGGGGCCAGCCCCTTTTTAATGATGTCAAATGATAGATCTTAAAATTATGCACAATATTTGTGAAATATGTCTCAACAAATTATTTTTAGTTTAAAAGATACACAAGGAAATATATGTAAAATTTGGCGCTTTTAGGCATTCTCATTTTTGACACCCATCTAGCACTGTTTGGAGCGCAGAAATCGAAAAAAGAAAAACCGATGTATTAATGTGCACAACTTCAATTCTTCTAGTATTTAAATGCAGTAGACATTCTGCTCCAGCTTTTGTCGTTTCTGAGCCTTTGTCTGGAAACGAACAGTACCAAATTTTCACTTAAAGGGAAATAACTCGAAAGCGGAAGAGAATTTTTGAAATGTATGAAAACATTTTAATAGAGTTTTGTAACGTTCAAAACCTCTGAAAATTTGAGCAAAATCCGTTCAGAAATGAGCGAGTTACGAGGTCTCAAAGTTGGCGTCTAGGAAAAAAAACAAAAAAAAAAAGAATAATAGCGAATAATCTTAACCATCAGAATCAGTAGAAGGTCTTCCGCCTGAGCGGAAGACCTTAATAAATTCCCTCCCGCTTTTCAAGCAGGGGGTATTAAAAAGGACTAATGTAGGCAGGCAAGCATTATGGCCCATGCATTTTTTTGCTATTCAATGTCTCTGAATATCTTTCTCAATCAAGATTGTTCCAACTCAAAAAATGTGAAACAGTTGTCTGTATTTGAAAATACAGACATAATAATAATTAATACATGTAATATTGTTCACTTACTTAACCTCCCGATCAAAGATTTTATTTACACAATGTTCAACTCCCATGAGTGCTTTCAGTACTTTGATGTTGGCGTAAACTGCCCCGTTATGTTATGTCGTATAACATAAGTTGAAATAAGCTTCATTCCTTAAATAACCAAATTTAGTACACATATTTTAACAACAAATAAAAACAAGTTGAGCAAAAATTTGGTAAATATCTTGATGATTATCAAAATTATCAATGATTTAATACAGCAAAAATAGGGTCACGGAGCAGGGTCAAAATTGAGCTATTTAATAATTATACACTTAATTATGTCCAGAGTCACAGCTCTAATAAATGGCGCTTAAACGAAATAAAATTGAAATGTTTAAATTAAGTATTGTTCTATTACTTTAGATGCTAAAATATAGTTTGTAAGATTTCGACCTGCTTTAAAACATGTTTTCTACATTCACCTTTCACCATAATATATTAAGCATAGTTTTTCCTTTTAATTAAAAAAACTTTCATCCAACAACTTCCGTCTCGGGTGACCTGCAATTCAAAAAATGGACGTGTTTTTATACAAATATATATCACAAAAAATAGGACCGAGAAAGTAGATATTCATAATCCGTAGCTAACACTAGTCTTTACTAGCATTTCTTTACTGAATTAGAGATGTTTTTGCGAAACCAGCGCAAATTTGCCCTTCAAATTCTACAATTAAAAGAAAACTTCTTTTAAACGTAAAATACAACAATTAAAAAATACATGAAAAACGGGCAACTTACCCTGAGTCTGTTTGACAGATGAATTTATTTGGCCGTGAGCAGTAATAATCGCCCCACCGTCCGTGATAGGCCGCCCACAAAATGAGACAATTTCCAGTAATGTGTTCATTGGGTTCCCCAGGATAAAACTCATTAATGGTAACGACGCTCTGATCAGAGGAGTATTCCCATCTATCTTCTACTATGATGTCAGAAATCCCTATCCAGAAACTCCCACCTGTTGTCAATTTTAATATTATATGATGATTATTATACTGATGATGAACATGTATCTATAGACATCTTGAAGATTAGAAAAAAAACATCAATAGAACTTCAAGAATTTACTTGTATCTATTAAGTATACCTGTATTACTTGATTTGGATTACTGGATGTGATATTATGGCTATTTATATTGTTAAATATGATCTTCAGAACAATTATTGTTTTATAATGTTTGTTCCATTGTTTTTTTTTTACCATTCATCAAATGATTTTGCCTATAAATGTACATACACACTATGTGAGTATTCACTTTCAAAAGTTTCCAATAAAAACTTGGTCACATTAGAAAATTTATTTTATAGCTTCAATACAAGTTCATATTCCGTTCGCCTATATGATTTTCTAAAGGATTACTAGTATTATAAGCTAAGGTAAATATTTGAATCTCTGCATTTTCTTAAAAACTTTTATCAAATATATTCATTAGGGCCCCGCAAGGATTTGCGGGTGCCCTATAGTAATCACTCTGTCTGTCCGTCTGTCTGTCTCACTCTGTCTGTCTGTCTGTCCGTGTTTACGAGAGTTCATTTATTGGGTATTTTTCATGCCAAGATTGTACTTATTGGGTACTTTTTGCTTATTGGGTATACCCAATAAGAAGTGTCGCTGAATATGCTTAAAACACCCTAATTGGGTATTTGCAGGTTAGTACCCAACAAAACTTGGACACGACGATTTGTCCAAAAAAGTGTCCAAAAAAGTTGCTTTCACGGACGCACCGTGTTTTGATGTTTCAGTTTTACATTCGGAACTCTGAATTCTCGAGAGTTCCGAAAATCAACTTCCGTTGATCCTGATCATAACAACGTTTGTTTACATGGAAAAAAAAATATGGCGACCAAGAAACACTTAATGTCAACAAGATTTTCTGATTGACAAGAGAAAAGGTAAGTTTATTCGATTAATATTTATCCATTGCTGGGTTCTTGTGTAAGGAAAATAGATTTTCAATGTAATTTTGAAAACAATTGTGCACAAAATTAAAAAAGATATATCGGAACAATTAATCCTAAGTTGCACTTGTTTGTATTTTGAATTTTCTCTGTCTTTTTAACTCTCTTGAGGGCGAGAAGTATTTAGTAAATGATCGTATATTGTTAGATAATCTTTGATAAATAGAAAGTGTTTATTATTTTGATTTATATCATAACCAACTAAGTATGTTCTGGCAATGTATATTGGAAAGGGAAATGAAAATTTTAACAATCGTGTGTTCATAAATCAGCTGTAAATTATCGGTTCATGTACACAGTATTACCATGATTACAATCGCAAATTGAGCTGAGATGATGATAAATGGGATAATTGACATCAACTAAATAATTGTATGTAAGTTTATCTCATCTGATATGTAACTTAAGAGATTCAGTGCTTCTTTCTGTCTTTGATTTTGAGTGTCTGCTTTATTTTGATTTTTTTAAAATTATTGTTTTTGTCATTTGTTTTAATTAATTTAAAACAATACTGAAATTGATATAGGGCTACTATAACTATTTCACATGATGGGTGTGTAATTAGCATCGCGCTACACCCGGGGCTTCTATTTTTGAGGATGCATGGGGCTAGTGGTTTTCGTCACTGAGGAATCCCCTTGGGCTATTAGGAATTTTAAAATAGACATGTAATACATGAAAAGCACCACCTGTATTTTCACTCTTTTTTGCTATTAAATTCCCTAATATGGAAATATTCCAGACAGCATGCTCATATTATCCATAAATCTCCACAAATGCATCCGTTTTGCAGTTCTTCAAGACTGATTTACTTAAAAACGATCTTTTATTTCCAAATTTGAATTCCCCCCTTTCCTATGTTTACTGTAGATTCCTTATTTTCGCGAATGGGCTCTTCAACGTCAAATAGCGAGAATAATAATTCGCGAATGGACGGTTGGTCAAGAGATTTTACAAAGATAAAAGCACCATAAAAATAAAGGCGAATAATTTGATTTCGCGTGAAGTGCTTCTTGCGATATTACGCGATAATTAATTCCACGCGTATAATAAGGAATCTACAGTAATATAGCAATATTTTCTTGTACATATATGCCTCACAGATATCTCATTATTAAATTATATACATTCACTCAATCAGCTCAATGATAAGTGTCATGCAATTATGTTGCGCTTTTTTAATTTAAAGCCATATTATGGTGTAACTGATCAAAAGATATATTTTTGAAAAATACAAAATTAAGTAAAGAAATATAGTAAATACATTTAAATTAAAGCTTTCCATACAATTCGGAGCACGGAGAACACCTCGTTTTATCTAATAATACGATTTTATCTTCTCTGTAATGTGTTATTTAAATCTTTTGTATTTTCTTCCAAGACGGAGAAAATTCCGAGAATCCAAATTAAATTTTGATATCTTTATGACGCAATTGACTTAGATTTTGTAATTTACGGAAAATTTCTCTCTTTATCATGTTTATATAAAGTAATGATACAAATAATAAGTTCTTGTAATTTTAGTCTAATAATTTTCATTGTACATACGCCATATATGGCTTTAAATGATTCAAGATGAAAACAAAATATTTTTGCTTCGTTTTAATTAGACGAACTAGTGAATGACCAGAAAAGGAATATTTAAAATATTTTTTTTCATTTTTTTTTTAAATCATTAATTTATAATTATATGATTAAATTTTACTAGCGAAAATTAAATTAAACTTTAATTTTAAAAAGGATCATCTGTAGTTAATACCCTGACTTTTTTCACGATGAACTTTTTTTCAATGTTACTTTTTAATTTTTGCCTCTATATTTGGGCTTGTCACTTTTTACTCGGGGATAGTAACTTTATTGCCACAAAGCTGTGGATTAGTACTTGATTTCCTTTATTGCACAGCGATGACTATGATTTAATAGCACAAAAAGCTAATGGGTTTACGACTTTACGAATGTGAATTTATATGATTAATGCTTACTTGTGATTTTAGGATAACTGGAGATAATGATTCCTTTTTTCCATTGATATTACATAAATATTTTCCTAAGTATTATCATTGATTATGTTACAATAAATTGGTTTAGATTTTTTTTTTATAAAAGTAATCAATAATTGCAATGGAAATTAAAACCATAATCATGTTCATTGAGGATTTTCATTATGTAACAGGTCAAACAGGACATTGCAGAGAACACAATCATCAGAAGATGACCCTCAGAAATAGGACAATTGTAAGTAATCAGTAAAATGAACAGGAATACTTCATGCCAACCATAAGATTTTTAATGACATTTTCGCTTCTTAAATTAGAAGAGATAGAGGGAAAAACTTGTACATACTACATAACTACTAGGCAACCAACCTTTAACTACAGGAAAGCTTTTGGTATGTGCAATACAGCTACATAAACCTATTTAGTATTCATGTAAACAATGTTAAGTTTGAGAAAGTACCGTAGTATTTTTTATAGTGTTTGCCAACATTTTCATGCACACTGTTTGCTTGTTTTTACTATCATTTTATTTTAAATTCTTCAGATGCCCTTTACCTTTGCCAGTTTTGAATCATTTGTTTTAAGGGCATCTGAGGATTGGTTCCAGAACTTAATTAATTGTAAAGTAAATACTGGGGTATTATACGGTCATAGGTTATGTTAATACATGTATAACATTTTGTTCTGATAGAGGTGGCATACAGGAAAAGAAACAATACTAGATATCACTTCAAAGGAATAAAACAGCTTCATCTTGTAGATGTATTTTATTTAAGGATCACTACTTCATGTCTGATGTGCTGAAAGTTATTCATAATCTGTTTGACTGTAATTTTTCATATTTTCAACTTCTATCCAGCTTAGTCAATTTTAATTAAAGGATGTATTCGCTTTGACAAAAGAATTGACCTATAGGAGAGAACAATTTTCCGGAAAAAGTGACATTTAAATATTAAACTTTATTTGTTGTTTTCTACCGTAAATATGTGTAAACTTTTCAAATTTGTATTTTACACCTAAAATTTTTTATTTACAACTTTACAATAAACCTCCAAAATTGGCTGAAACACCATTTTGTCCGCTAAAGCATTGATTTTTGCATGAATTTTGGCCGAGAAGTCCTTCAGGGCAGGCCTGCCCCTAAATAAAATTGTGATATTTTGATAGGTTTGGATGTAAGATAGGATTTTTTAGGGGAACCCCTGCCCTAAGGTTCACAAAAAACCTACAAAAAATAAGGAAACCTGATTTTGATAATCTGCTTCAAATTTATACTTGTAAATATTATAGTCAGACTAGCTCAGTTGATATGTGCGCTGACTTTTACACCATGTAAACAAACATTTTAAAGTCGGGGGTTCGAATCCACCTGGAACAACACTTTTAATTTTTTAATTTTCGCCTTTTTAAAGACTATTATGATATTTTTTATAGACTTGTGTATTTTCCTTAATTATCTATCCTTCATGCATGCCCATTCTTGATATAAGAAACACTATAAAGAGATATCAAATCGTAAAAATCCAATGTACAGTTGTCAGTCAGGCGGAACAAACCTCAGTATAAGCACACTTTCTCTGAGGACAAGAATAACTCATTCTGTGTTACTCAATACAGGTATTCTTTGCAGCATTGAGCTGCGATGAATGTCAATTGTATATATTACTTAAAATTTAATACATTGATTTTGGCTATATATATCAGTGAATGTACTCCCTAGGATTTGATTTAGGCCTACATAATTTGCACACATTAATGGCATGTTTTATTGTATTCATGGATAAAATAGCCTAGACATAAAGAATAGAATTTCAGAGGCAGTAAACATTACAATGCATTATGTACGGTGCAAGAAAAGAAAAATATCAATTATTACATTTGGAGATAACAAACTTAGAAAACTCAGAAAATCAATGTAAGGTTTCCTCCTACCTCTACTCACTGAAATAAAGATTTCGGAAAAAACAAATTGTTAGATTTAATTAGCCTAATGTCATTAATCAGAACGGAAATCGACAAGGTTTTTGTAGAGAAAAAACCAAGCCCGGTCCTATAGGTCAAATCCCTATTTATAATGAAGTGATCCTTTGTGCAAAGCATACCCCAGGAAGGGGGGATGGAGTGTCAAGTGTGTCTCTGTCCCTGTCAATATAATTTCAAAGCAGTTAGTAAGGTTTGGGTCAATTTTAAATCCTTTTTAGCAGAACCATTAGGCTAAAAACAATACTAATGTGAAAGCTTTATCATTAAGTGTAGAGATGTTTTTGAAGATTATGTACCCCTAATGTACTGATAGTGTTACATTAGAAGTCTAAAATTTGCAAGGAATAGGTGTAAAATCTTTTTAAAATCTCCTTCTTAACAATCAGAAACTAACATACTGTCTAATTAATATGCAACATCGTTTTGTGTGTTGAATGATGATTCCATTTTGATAAAATTATGACGGATGGGGGGTAGGATGAAGATGCAGTTAGACATAGAAGAAAAAAAAGAGTTGATAGAATTTAGTTTTTCTTCCATTTTATTTATCAATACATATTTCTGAATAAGAAATATACTTCTACTTCTTGATTGGGTTTGATCAACATAAAGGGTGATCTTGCTGTAGTCACAAGAAAAACATGTTTTATACGGCAAAGAAATGCCTTTATCTAATTGCAGAATGAATAAAATGGACAGAGGCAGAACTGAAGGAGATGCATGAAAGGAGGAATATTTCAAAGATTGCCTGAGCATAACCACTGCTACTGGATAAACATATGACAATATAAAAGAGCAGGGTCAATGGAGGTATCATACAGTATAGGCCATGAGAGACCCTGAAGAAGAAAGTATTGAACAGAAACAAAAATAAAACCATTTTGACATTTATTGAAATATAGGATCAAAGTCTTACATGTAAAATTTGGGCATGTAATGACTTTTGTCTAGCTCTAAGACTTATAACAGTGATGATTTGATTTAATATATTTATCCCGATTTGTCGAAAAGATTTGGACATAGTGCATCAATTATTTTAAAGTTTTGATACAACGAATTCATTCATTGTACCTGTAACTGAGTTTTCTGGAGCGACACTGTTTTATCGGCTTCAAAACTAAGTTTGTGATTTCCAAACGAGATTAATGAGATCCTGTAATATCTTTTAACATCGGTGACTTTTTAATCCATTCTTTTACATCTCAGAAGCATTTTTATTATTACAGGGAAAATATGCATTGTACATGTATCTGTAATAAACAGGATTATAGAAATTTTCCATATAATACAACACAATCTTAGCAACTGAAGGCAAATACTTAACAAGGGTGTGATCTATTTATCAGTATGGTTTTCAGCATCTTGCTCTACCTGTAATGACTTGCTCCAAGTTCCAATATTTAAATTTAAATTTTGCAAACATGGTTATAAAATTCTTTAAAAGCCAAATAGTTTAGGCACAAAATGCTTATATATTTCCTATCATTTGTAAAGTGTACACTGAATGAGATGTGGAATATTAGAATTAAAGTATTAAATATGTTTTGGACTTATGTATTTTTATGCAGATAAATTTGAATTCAACTAGGGATGGTAAATGTCATACTTATTGGGTTTGCAATCTAAGAGTATAAATATCCAAGACAAATTTGACAATTTTAATGAAGGGTATAAGTAAACCAAGAAGAATTGGACAGGTTAACATCACCTGTTGCGTTTTATTCTAATGTCGGGATGTAATATCCAAGAAGAGTTGAACCAATGTCCAATACCTATTGGGTTTTCTTTCTTATGAAAAAAAATTTAAGTAACCCAAGAAGAATGTCCAATACCTTTTAGTTTATATACTATTGAAGGGATGAAGAAACCCAAGAGGAATTGGACAGGTGTCCATTACATGTTGGGTAGTATTCTGATGAGGGGATTTTCAAGAAACCCAAGAATTAGACAAGTGTCCATTGCCTGTTGGGTGGGATGTAGATATCCAAGAGGAGTTGGACAGATGTCCATTACCTGTTGGGTTGTATTTTATGAGGAGATTCAAGAAACCCAAGAATTAGACAAGTGTCCATTGCCTATTGGGTGGGATGTAGATATCCAAGAGGAGTTGGACAGATGTCCATTACCTGTTGGATGCTATTCTGATGAAACAATTCAAGAAACCCAAGAAGAATTGGACAAGTGTCCATTACCTGTTGGGTGGGATGTAGATATCCAAGAGGAGTTGGACAGGTGTCCATTACTTGTTGGGTTGTATTTTGATGGTGCAATTCAAAAAACCCAAGAATTAGACAAGTGTCCATTGCCTATTGGGTGGGATGTAGATATCCAAGAGGAGTTGGACAGATGTCCATTACCTGTTGGGTGGTATTCTGATGAAACAATTCAAGAAACCCAAGAAGAATTGGACAAGTGTCCATTACCTGTTGGGTGGGATGTAGATATCCAAGAGGAGTTGGACGGATGTCCATTACCTGTTGGGTTGTATTTTATGAGGAGATTCAAGAAACCCAAGAATTAGACAAGTGTCCATTGCCTGTTGGGTGGGATGTAGATATCCAAGAGGAGTTGGACGGATGTCCATTACTTGTTGGGTTGTATTCTGATGAAACAATTCAAGAGACCCAAGAAGAATTGGACAAGTGTCCATTACCTGTTGGGTGGGATGTAGATATCCAAGAGGAGTTGGACGGATGTCCATTACCTGTTGGGTGGTATTCTGATGAAACAATTCAAGAAACCCAAGAAGAATTGGACAAGTGTCCATTACCTGTTGGGTGGGATGTAGATATCCAAGAGGAGTTGGACATGTGTCCATTACCTGTTGGGTTGTATTTTGATGATGAGATTCAAGAAACCCATGTACACATGTTCAATTGTTCTTGGGTAGTTTAATCCCTTCGTCAAAATACAATCCAACAGGTATTGGACACCTGTCCAATGCCTGTTGGATACCTTCATTCTGTCCAACATGTAATGGGCATTTGCTTATTATTAATTGGTCATGACTCAAAAAGGTTTCTCCTTAAATTCTTAATTTTGTCATTCAAGAAAGGTTGAACAGAGTCTGAGATGTGTTGAGTTGTGTACTCAAGGTATTCATATATTTTAATATTAGATATTTTGAAATTTACAGGTGTATATCCTTATTGCTAAGAACAAATTAGTTAGGTGTTACAATAAAAGAGCTATTTCACAGAAATTGACAAAAATATGGGTTCAATACCAAAGGTTTTCAGTCTTGTCTGAATTTACCAGCAAATATTAAATATATAATAAATTTGAAATGAATAAAAACCAATAAGAAAAAACCCAATAAAATACGGACACGAGGATTAATATCCAATAAGATTTGAACAGTAACTACCCAAATAATGCTCTCTCGTGTGTACACTTTTTTTGTATCCAATAAGCAGTATCCAATAGGACTTGGACTTGATGTACCCAATATATAACCAAATGTGTGTCCGTCCGTCCGTCTGTCCGTCTGTCACTCTTCCGTCCACAAATTTTCTGTTTTTTCCTAATAACTTTTTTTATGGTTGCCCAATTAAAATCAAATTTGGTATGGTAGTTCAATAGACAGAAAGACATCTTTTGATGCTAAGTTTGTTTCTCTATGTCCCCTGGTTTGGAGCTGGGTGGTGGGGTAGATTCCTTAACTTTATATAAGAATGCATTGGCAAAGAGAGATAACTGCTGAAGATGTTCCCATTGTAAACTGAATGCTGCTATGAGTCCCTTGGGATTAATTAGCTTTCCTCCTGAAGAAAATCCAAAGCATTATCTTTATCCTTCACATTAAGATTAATTACCACCTCTGTCTGCAATTGAAGTTTGTTTTGAAGTTAAGTCAATTTGGAATGCTATGAACATTCTGAAATGTGGATTTAAATATAAATGTTCATACTTTATTTTTGTTAAAATAGTTATGATTTCATTGAATTCTAAAAACAAGAAATAGATAAAAGAAGATATATTTTTTTATTTTTACTTTTTTCCCTTTATGTAAATTCAAGAATATTATTATTTTTAAGGTAGTTGTATAAAAACCCCAACCCCCATTCTATCATTATAAATACTGAAAAAGTTCTTTTGTAACTTTAGAAGAAAAGGATGAGAGGCACGGTTAATCCCTTGGGATTAATTATCTAGCCTGCTGCAGAAAATTTTGTAAGCTTATCTTTATCCGTCACTTTAAGATTAATGAAAACCTTTGTCTGCAACTGCTGTTTGTTTTGAAGTTAAGGTCAAGTCTTCATGATATTTGCATTCATTGAAGGCTGACATTTTATATAACATAAGCTTCATTATTGTTTAAATATACATTCAATATTAAGTTATTCTTCACTGCCTAATGTAAATACACGGGTATTATTTACAGGTTTTTGAATATTCATGAATTATCTTGAAATTTTAAGAATACAGTTGCTGTTGCTTATTATTCGTACATTTTTTAATCATTCCGTAAGCTGCACCCTTATAATTCTAACCCATGGCGGGGCCCTTGCTGACTGGTCAGTTTTCTAGTTTATTTTCCTTTTGATGAAAAAAGACCGATAATATTAAAAAGTTGCCATCATCCAAAATAATTCGAAAAACAAGATGACTATTTCGTTTTAACGATTTCAGCAAATTTGTTTTACAATTATCACTATACCTTGGCCTTGGCTGTGGCTGATCAAGAATTTCGATTCGGCTTCAGTTCTTGGCTCAGCTAGAATTGAGTTAAACACTCTACAAACACTCTGAAACCCAAAAGTAATAGGGATTTCTTATTAAGATTAACTTCCACTGCTTAAAAATAAGATGCTTGTTGAAATCCCTTGTTCCGTAATTTTGCTATTTTTAGTTCTGTGTCGGTGAATTTGCAAGGACCTATCATAGTTTTTTCTTCTTGTCTGCCTGTCCCTCTGTCTATTTGTCCCGCTTACTTTTTTGCATTTTTGTCCTCAATTCTTGTTGATATTATTTTTGGTCTGTGAGTATATATGTTGATGACTTTGTTTTTGTATAATGATGAGCTTCAGCTTAAAGTTTGATTATTGTCAATGATTCTGTACAAGTATGGGGTTTGTCTCTACTTGGATACAAATATTATGAATACAAAACTGACATTTTCATTTAAGTCTAAACAGTTTATTTTTCAAGCATTGTTAGTTAAACCGTCTTTCCATTAACCAGATGATCAAAAACTGAGCAGTTTAACAGTTGCTAAAACTCATCAAATTTTAAAGCCTTGCTATATGTTACTTGAAACTTACTGCAGCATCCGACCAGGTTTCCGTCGTGTGGCTAAACAGGTAACATTTGTCTTGAAACTGAACCCAGCCTACGTTGCAACCTTTGAAAGTAAAACATGTTAGGAATATCTTTTTAATATGAGAAATTTGTATCTTACTTTTTGAAGACAAAAACGTATTTCACTTTACCTTTGTGTGCATCGTTTTCACTTTTGTCATTAACTTCAATATGACATGTTCAATTGTTGTTTATTTTTTTTTTAAATTTGATGTAGAGCATAAAATTAATTTGCATTTTTTAACACAATGAATTATTTACTTACAGTGATTACAAGTTACCAATGCGAATAATAAAACAAACAACAATTTCATGATCGTCTTCATAAGAAAGATAAGATACATATAGATCTCCGATAAGATCATAAACAAGAGGCTCATGGGCCTTATAGGTCACCTGAGCATTATGCAACAACTTTCCAGTGATTGAATTTGATTCATGTTTTAAGCCAGATGCTATGGCATTCACAATTTTGAAAGAAGCATCATTGATCATCATAACTATACACTTAGCAGTTGTTTAGTTTGGTTACTTAATACCCATAGACAAGGCAGAGGAACAAAAAATACATTTTAACTAATCAGTAATATTCAGCAATAATCAGTAGTGCCCCTACTACACATGGACCCCTGACCCGTAGGCCTAGATCCACACATTGCACAATTTTTGAAAAGGCATCCTTGCTTTTCAAAACTATTTGATTAATGCCAAGGAGCAGAATTCAAACAATTCATTCATTTTCAGTCTATAAGTAAGCTCCCCCCCCCTATGGTACCCCTGACTCTGGGACCTTGAAATACATTATTCTTGGAGATAACGGTCCTTGTTCATAACTATATAGGTAATTCAACTGCTTAAAACCCAGGAGCAGAGAAGAAAATTTTCAAAGATTTTATGTATTTCACTATAATCAATAGAGCCCCCCCCCCCCCAACACCAGAACCCTGACCCTAGGGCCCTAAAATTCACAATTTGTGGTAGAGGCACTCTTGCTCATTATAACTATGCATTTAGTTAGTTTATTTAATACCTAGGAGCAGAGAAGACGATTTTCAAAGAATTCATGAATTTTCACTATATAATCAATAGAGCCCCCCCCCCCCTTAACACAAGAACCTCTGACCCTGAGGTCCTAAAATTCACAATTTTGGCAGAGGCACTCTTGCTCATTATAACTATGCACTTAGTTAGTTTATTTAATACCTAGGAGCAAAGAAGATTATTTTCAAAGAATTCATGTATTTTCACTATATAATCAATAGATCCCCCCCCCCCCCCCCAACACCAGAACCCCTGACCTCGAGGTCCTAAAATTCACAATTTTGGCAGAGGCACTCTTGCTCATTATAACTATGCACTTAGTTAGTTTATTTAATACCTAGGAGCAAAGAAGATTATTTTCAAAGAATTCATGTATTTTCACTATATAATCAATAGATCCCCCCCCAACACCAGAACCCCTGACCTCGAGGTCCTAAAATTCACAATTTTGGTAAAGGAACTCTTACTCATCATAACTATGCACTTAGTTAATCTATTTAATAACCGGGAGCAGAGAAGAAGATTTTTAAAGAATTCATGTATTTTCACTATATAATCAATAGAGCCCCCCCCCAATACAAGAACCCCTGACCCTGGGGCTTTAAAATTCACAATTTTAGTAAAGACACTCTTGCTCATTATAACTATGCACTTATTTAGTTTATTTAATACCTTGAGGCAGAGAAGAAGATTTTCAAAGAATTCATGTATTTTCACTGTATAATCAATAGAGCCCCCCCCCAACACCAGAACCCCTGACCCTGGGGCCATAAAATTCACAATTTTGGGAGAGGCACTCTTGCTCATCATAACTATGTAAGTAGTTTGTTTATTTAATAACCATGAGCAGAGAAGAAGATTTTCAAAGAAATAATGCATTTTCACTATATACTTATTTAGCCCCGCCCTAGCACTAGAACCCCTGACCCCAGGGCCATGAATTTAACAATTTTGGTAGAGGACGCAATGCTGATTACAATCATGCAAACAGTTTGATTGCTTGATGTCCAGGAGTAAAGAAGAAGATTTTTAAAGATTGCATTAATTTTAGTGGTTTTGGCCCCACCCCTCAGGCCCCAGGGGGGGCAGGGATCATGAAATTCACAATTTTTGTTCCCCTTCACCCATAGATGCGTTGTGCCAAATTTGGTTGAAATTGGTTGAGTAGTTGCAGAGAAGAAGCTGAAAATGTTCAAATGTTAACGCACAACGCACGACGACGGACAATAACAGATAGCAATAGGTCACCTGAGTTTACTCAGGTGACCTAAAAAGAGACCTCATTTTTGACATGAAAATGTTTTGATTTATTCATTCATTATCAGACTCCATGAAATAAAAAAGGCTGAAATCTAGATTTAATATTATTGTAGTCTGATGATTGTATAAATTGTTCCACTGTACCAACGTCAACACTTTTACATCTTGTATCAAAATTCATACTCCTAATCCTTAGCTTTGCAAAGTAAAGATTCTCCTGAAAGCAATTGTGAACAATTTAAATGCTCCTCTACAAAAGTCACCGAGTCATCTAAAGCAAGATACTCATTTAGTGTATTATTTATTTTCTATTAGTTTCTCTATTTTTAGCTCACCTCAACGAAGTTGGGGGAGCTTATGTAATACCCTCGGCGTCGGTGTCGGCGTCGGCGTCCCAGATTAAGGTTAAGATTTTTGGAGCAGTTTTCTCTTTAACTACTTCTATGTCCTATATGGATTAGACATGCATGGAAAATGGTTCTAGTGTGTTTCATTGTACCCGTCAAAGTTTCAGATGCTGCAATTTCAGCAAAGGAATGACCAGGATAATGTTTTGGAGCAGTTAACATTTTTGGTGTAGGTTTCATTTCCAAGTAACTATAAGCCTTATATTGACCAAACTTGCATGGATGATACATCTAAGGATGCATACTACCAGGCTTGCTTCGGATGCTGAATCTGACCTACATTTTCCGGTTGAGTGAATAGGTTAAAGTTTTTAGTGCAACTAAGTAACTATGAGTTCTTTAATGACCAAACTTGCATGGATGATACATATAAGGATGCATACTACCGGGCTTTTTTCGGATGCTGAATCTGACCTACATTTTCCGGTTGAGTGAACAGGTTAAAGTTTTTGGTTCAGGTTTCATTTTCTTGAAACTATAATTAAGCCTTATATTGACCAAACTTGCATGGATGATACATCTAAGGATGCATACTACCAGGCTTGCTTCGGATGCTGAATCTGACCTACATTTTCCGGTTGAGTGAATAGGTTAAAGTTTTTAGTGCAACTAAGTAACTATGAGTTCTTTAATGACCAAACTTGCATGGATGATACATATAAGGATGCATACTATCAGGCTTGCTTCGGATGCTAAATCTGACCTACTTTTTGTGGATGAGTGAAAATGTTAGTTTTTGATGCATGTTTCATTTCCAATTAACTATGAGCCCTATAATGAGCAAACTTGCATGGATGATACATCTAAGGATGCATACTACCAGGCTTGCTTCGGATGCTGAATCTGACCTACATTTTCCGGTTGAGTGAATAGGTTAAAGTTTTTAGTGCAACTAAGTAACTATGAGTTCTTTAATGACCAAACTTGCATGGATGATACATATAAGGATGCATACTATCAGGCTTGCTTCGGATGCTTAATCTGACCTACTTTTTGTGGATGAGTGAAAATGTTAGTTTTTGATGCATGTTTCATTTCCAATTAACTATGAGCCCTATAATGAGCAAACTTGCATGGACAATGCATCTTAGGATGCAAACTAATGGACTTGCTTCAGATTCTGAATTCGACATACATTTTTCAGATAATAGACCAGGTAAAAGTTATTGGTGCAGGTCTATTACCAAAAAACTATAAGGCTTACATAACATTGTATAAACCAAACTTGCACAAATGTTGCATCAAGAGATGAAAACTCTCAAATTTGCTTCAGATGCTAGATTTTGATTACTAGTTTAAATTTTTTATGTAGGTCTATTTCAAAGTATCAGATCAAAATTGCTTTTGGAATGTACACTTTTTGTTGGTTAATTGTGTGACTTTGCCTTACTTAAAGACAACATTCGTTGAGGTGAGCTCTGTAATCTCTGATTACCTATGTTTATGGACTCTTATAGTCGTCTTGTCTGAAGAAAGTCTTTAAACTTATTATTATTTATAGCAATTTTTAAATGACCATGGCCAGTTCGTTTAAATGAAATTCATTAATATACTAGGCTTGAAAAACCTTTAGATCACAAGAAACCTTCAGGACAGGTTTCTGTGGACTTCAACTCAACATTCAGATATAGAGACACACGGTTTATCGGTTAACAGTAGTCATGCCAATTCAGAATATCCCAGTGAATTTTGTATTTTAAAAAAAGACAACAAAGAGTCTGCAATAAAATTTTCATATTTGAATGTTTCACTTTCTATAATCGATAGCAAGAAGGATATGGAGATAACGAACAGTATTCAATCTCAAAGTCCATTAAACAATATACAAAATAAGAGCAGAGCAAACACGGACCTCCGAAACATCAGAGGTGGGATCAGGTGCCATGGAGGAGTGAGCATCCCCTGCCGACCGGTCCCACCCGCCGTGTGCTCGTTGTCATGATCAGGAAATAACGGAAAAAATCCGTCGTCAATTCAGTGTATAAATAATGGACTAACAATTGGTATGAAAAACGTCAGTCAGCATTTGACTCAATGATAAATTGTATTTGCTGACAAGGTCATTGTATCGACCATAGAACTAACGAAATGATGACTTTAAACGAGACTGTTGATATTCTTGTTTCATCAACTTGCTTGTCAATAATTTACATTCTTTCAGAAATTGTTCATATGTAGAGCATGCTCTTGCGTATCGATTTAATTGAGATATATAAACTCTATATGCAGGTGATGAAGGTATATTCCTGCATAAGTAAGGGAAGTTGACGATAGAAAAGTTAAAGTCATCACGTTTATCATATAGCTTGGTTGTTACCATTAGTGTTTTTTCAAGTAAAATAGCCAAGTATGAAGCAGAAGTGTCGGACTCTGTGGTATCTTTTATCTCAAGCTCACCAGGATATATCGTATCGACGTAGGAATGGAAATTATCATTATTAATTGACAATACGTCGTCGATATATCTAAATGTCGAGTTGAAGGCCACAGCAAGTGTTTTTTTTCTTTTCACGCATAAGATTTTGCATAAATTCTGCTTCATATGAATACAAAAATAAGTCTGCTAATAACGGAGCCCAATTTGTACCCATGGGAATTCCAATAGATTGTTGGAATACCTGGTCTCCAAAAAACCACATAGATATTGTCAATCAGAAACTCAAGCATCTTCTTGATGTCAACTTCAGAGTACTTATGTGTGCAATCAGAATCTGTTTTAACAAAATAATTTTGCAAATGACCAATGACGAGGTAAGTAAATTTACGAGTTCCATTTTTATTGAAGAAGCAGCTGTCAATGATATCAAAAAGCCTGGATTTTAATTTGTCGTGGGGAATTGTTGTGTTAAAGTTGAAAAGTCGTTAGGTTTTAAGCTTTAAGTAAGTAATTAATTTGTAATTACAATATACAGTAATACTAGTGTTATGCTACACTTGCATGGTGTTTATATCTCCCAATTCATTCGAGTATACTCTGAGTACAATCAATTCAAAGGTAGACTACTGACAAAGTGTAGTCATGTTACAGGGATTTAAAAAAACATCTTTTAAGCACGGGTTCTTGTTTGGGAAATAAATTTTAATCCAAAGTAAAATAATAATACGAGGAATCTAACTGTGAATTACACGGAGTATCCCTCCCTTAAAATCGCGCTCATTTACAATTTCAGAGGAGACGGAATGGCAAACTATTTATACCTATGTCCTCTACGATAATTTATCTACACAACCATATATGGCTTGCTAGTCTTTATTTTCTCAGATCGGCAAGCTACAGATCTGTAGCTATATTTGCTCCGCGCCTGATTTACATTTTTATTACGTTTGAGCTAGATTACTGTTTGTTATCTCGACATAAATTCAAAGTTGATTATGCAGTAAAAATAGTAATACATGTATAAGTGAACATTTTAAATTAGCCCTCAAGCCTCTTCTTTTACATAATAATGATAAACTATGACCTAATGCTGCTGTATTACTTTAAATAAATATTTCGCTCCCAACATAAACTACCATCAAGCTTATGATCAAAGAACATTTAAAAATCAAGTTTTATCATATGTATTTGTATAGGTGTACATGTTAGTAGTTTGCAAACAATTGAAATCGATATTTTTTCTGTATAATTTTCTAGAACTTTTGAACTGAAAATGTTGATTCTCAGCCAATAACTTCTCCATTTTTTAAACTGTAACAAATATAAGACAGTTCTAAGTAAATTATTCAAGATATAAAAATATTTAAGTATAATAAAACAAATCTTAATAGAATTCAAAATATATGAAACTTTATTTCACAATAATTTTTAACCGTACTTGAATTAATAAGAAGGATATGGAGATAACGAACAGTATTCAATCTCAACGTCCATTAAACAATATACAAAATAAGAGCAGAGCAAACACGGACCTCTGAAACATCAGAGGTGGGATCAGGTGCCATGGAGGAGTGAGCATCCCCTGCCGACCGGTCACACCCGACGTGTGCTCGTTGTCATGATCAGGAAATAACGGAAAAAATCCGTCGTCAATTCAGTGTATAAATAATGGACTAACAATTGGTATGAAAAACGTCAGTCAGCATATGACTCAATGATAAATTGTATTTGCTGACAAGGTCATTGTATCGACCATAGAATTTACGAAATGATGACTTTAAACGAGACTGTTGATATTCTTGTTTCATCAACTTGCTTGTCAATAATTTACCTCGTAGAGCACGCTCTTGCGTATCGAATCAACTGAGATATATATACTCCGTATGCAGGTGATGAAGGTATATTGCTGCATAAGTAAGGGAAGTTGACGATAGAAAACTTAAAGTCATCATGTTTATCATATAGCTTGGTTGTTAGATTACCATTAGTGTCTTTTTCAAGTAAAATATCCAGGTATGAAGCAGAAGTGTCGGACTCTGTGGTATCTTTTATCTCAAGTTCACCAGGATATATCGCATCGAATCGCTTATCACAACAAAGTCTTTGAAATGCTTACCCATTATCTTCTTCACAAATGAAATAATTATTAGTACTGCATGAGTGATCTGCCCACTTTTCATGGTGCCCATTATATATTACAACACACTTTTTTGAAGTATATTCATCTGGTTCGCCAGGAAAGAAAATGTTCACTGTTATGACACCCATATCTGAGGAGTAGATCCACCGGTGTTCCTCCAGTATATCAGATACCCCGATCCAAAACGATTTACCTATTTAAGCATATCATAGTCCGCTAAATTTTGTTTCGTTATACTGTTCCAGTCTTTTATTTATTGTAAATTTACTGTATTATTGTTTTGCATGTTAAAAAACATTACCCATGTAAAATTTTACTTTGATGTGCAATATAGTTTTTCGACAATACTTGTACTTCATATAAATTATAATTTATCAATATTAAACGCTTTAATTTACCTTATGCAAGAGATGAGAGAATTTGTAATTATTTGTAGAATTCAGATTAGTATAAAAGTCACAAGAAAGTGCAAGATTATCTGGTATAAACCCTCAAACAACATTTTTATTGACTTCAACATTCCAAAACCGCATAGAACATTCAGTGAAAAATTAATTGTCTGTCAATAATTATTAAAGACGATGAAGACAAATATAATTTCTTAAAATCATTTATTTTTGATTTGGCGATTGTGGCCACGACCTACATAATACAATATATACTTTATTAATCGATATAACATAACTCCTTATAAACCTTATATCCCTATCCTTATAAACCTTATATCCTTATAAACCTTATATCCTTATCCTTATAAACTTTATATCCTTATCCTTATAAACATTGTATCCTTATCCTTATAAAGTCTCAAAGATTTGAATACTGAAATCATTCAAGCTGGTACTGGGTTAGCAGATACTCAGCGGAAGTTGTGAAAAAATATTATAAAAAAACAAGAGATAATATTTGACATCTAAGTCATTTTATCGACCATAGAATTTGGCCAATGACGTTTATAAACGAGATTGTTGATCTCCTTGTTTCATCAGCTATTCCATCGGGGTATCAATGACCTGCCTCATTTTAGCAATTGGTAATATGAGGAATGTGTTTCTGTGTTTAAAAAAAACAATTGTGAGACGTTATCTCCATTTCAGGTGATATTTGTATGTTCCTACAACTATAATGAAATCATCACGATTATCAAGAGATTCAGGCGTCAATTTGCCATCAAAACCTTTGGATAAACAGATGTGTCAGACTCTATGATGTATAATTTCGTGTTCAGTGGGATATATCGAATCAGTGTAGGAATGAAAATGAATACTGTTCATGAATGTAATAACATGTCATATTGAAGGCTACAGCAACATATATTTTTCTTTTTTTATGGAAGTTTAGTATTAATTCGAGATCTTGATTCGTAATTTAAGATCTCGAATCACACAAACAGATCTCACTGATCAACATATCAGTCTACTGTCTGATTTTGGCAAACTGTTTTCTCGAGTTTCATTACATATATAATTTTAGACAAGAGACTGAAATGTCAATGTAAAGATGAATGTGTAATTTTCAATAATATTTTGACCTTTTCTACTTGTGAACAGTCAATAAAAGAACACTTTTCTATGGTGCATCTATCATTCTTGTAATAACACGAAGCTGTAAATGCATTAATTCCTCCACATATTCAAATTTACAACCAGTGAACAATAACAAGAGGCCCTGAGCAATGTGGCTATAGGAAAAAATCAGTTCAGTTTTGAAAAGATGAAATGCATAAGTGGTCACAAACAAACTCTAGGAGGGTCTGATTGGAATAAAATGTATCTACGCTGACTAAGGATGCTTAGGCCTATGTTTTTCTTGAATAACTAACTTTTTCTCTACAAATTTGAACTTGAATTGATAAAACATTCTACACCTGAGGGCCATGATTTGGTTAAACTTGAATCTTTACGAACTATAAATGGTTCCCTGTAAACATTAAATTACCACGATTTGTACAAATGAATCTAAACCACTCGAGGATACTTTCACATAAAATGACTTATCATTGCTTTTCTCAAGATCTTTCCTACATATTTCTATGTAAAAACTTGATCGCCAATTGTAGCTCCACACTAACCCAAGTGGTCGTGAATTTAATTAATTAACTTAAATCTACACTAGTCTATGTGACAATTATTCCACATGCGTTTCGTTTTCCCAGGCCCATCGGTTCTTGAGAAGATTTTTTTCGCTAATTTGTAATTACATCTCCTCAGAGGAGGGCATGTACTTTGTTTTGAACAAACTTGAATCTCCTTCACCAAAAGGATACTCTGTGCTAGGTTTTGTTGGAACTGGCCCAGTAGTTCTGGAGAAGGTAAAATTGTGAAAAGCTTATGACACTGACAATACCAACGAAGACAACAGCCAACAAACAAATTTCGATCAGAAAAACCTTCGACTCAGTTGAAATAAAAAGGAAAACTAGATATCATGAAGCAAAACAATTGCAATTAGAATTAAAAACTAGGAAAAATATCAAACGCACCTAAAGACACACTATGGCTGCTAAGGAATTGTGATGATCCAACTGTCCTCGGCTCGGCTAAGGATCATTCTCTATAAGGCCGTTTTGCGGCCTACAATGACATCAAATTTTCAGATAGTATTTTTTCCCTTAAAAATTGCATGAATCACTAGGCTTATGTTCCAATTTAATGATAAATATCGGTTGGTTAATGATACAATAGTATTTTTAATGATATAGGGTCACAAAGTAAGGTACTGTCGGTCCGTATTAGCATTAGAGTAATGGGAAAACTCAAGAGGGTGGCTGTGTTAGATAACTCATACGCATGTCATAACCACCTTTAACCAACACCAAAATTTGCATGTAAATTTCTAATAAACATAAAAAGTGACTACCAAATTATGAGTTTGGTTAAAGGTGGTTATGACATCCAAATAAAAACTTTTCGCTTCATTTTTACGATATTTGCAGAAAAAGCTAACTACTCACAATGAAGAATATCAGCTTATGTAGATTATTTCTTTTTATGAACTTTTGGTTAGAGTACAATTTTCTGATAATTTACTAACACTTATATCAGGTATGCATATTTACTAAAAATAAATGTGAAATTTTTCCTTAAAAAATTAAAAATCAAAGGACTGAGAGGACTGGATGTCATGAAATTACAAGTGGAGACGTTTCATTGAAATGTCAAATAAAAATTCAGAAATAAAAACTTTTATAGACTGTAAGGTGTGAATATTTTATATTTATAATGATAGTTTAGTTTATCTTTATATGCTACTTGTTTAAATTCCGTTATCAGTATTGCATATATTCTTTGTATTTCCTAATGCGTACAGAAATGCTTCTAGAAATGATAAAAGCCATCTTTGTTGAAGCAGTAAAATGCATTTCCTATTTGTGTTATAGACTTTTTTCCTATAGGTACACACATAATTTTTATATGGAGACTTCCGTACGAGTAACATGTGATCCATATTTTGTTATCTGCATGGGTTTATAGAGAGGACTCAATCTATTCATCACACTTCTTTGATAGCATCGATATAAGTTACGAGAACAGTAGTCCTGTCTAAAAAAATAAAATGGTAAGGAGGAGAGGGAATCCTATATGTAATATGTAATTTATAATTGAATGTTGCTTTACCCCATTTAAGGATATTTCAACCAGATAAAAAGAATATCCACCTAAGGTCAAGTGTTTATGCACAGTTGCATTACTGACCAACGCCTAACGCGGGACGGGACCTTTTTTAAAAAAAATAATATCCTAAAGAGCCATGATATTCACTTTAAATGCTAAAGACTTAGGTAGGGAACTGTCACTATCTGTGTAAAACAAGTTTTTGACGCTGCACTAGGAAGGAGATTGAATTTAACACACAGGTATCAAGAGTGCGAAAGGAGCATCAAACCCTTAGGGTCCATTTTGTACCTGGGATGTTGTAGAATCTTAAGTCCGTATACTAGTATATACGAAAACTTCTGATATGCATAGTTGAAGGAACTGTTAAAATTCTACTCCATTTTATGTTGTGAAGTTAGAAACGGTGGTGGTGGTGGTGGGGGGGTCTCAACTTTTATATATGTAAATACATCAAGTTTATATGGCATTTTTAATTAAATATATCGTGCAACACGAGTAATTGAATAAAAGCAAAGCCGTTTTACGACGATATTTCATTTCACTCAGAGATGTATATTTTAATGCAACCGCTCTGAGTTACATGTATATGTATTGACTATTAACATGCATATGGATAGTCAACATGTACTTGCATTGATGTTTTTTATGCTGTTAATCTTTATTTTTTGCAATTGTTGAATTTCTTTTCTTAATTACTATTTCAGTTTTATTTAATCACAATCAAAATCCATTCAGTGCTTTCAACATTTGATACATAACTTTTATAGGTCAATAGAAACTCAGAAACCTCATTTATAAAATGGTTATTTTATGCGTAAAATAAGTAACACATCTATAGAAATGATATAGAATTATAATATAATTATATATGATATATTACTATTAATAAAATACTAATCAAACTTTTTTCAGTATCATACAGTGTGAATTTCGTAAAGATTTACGTTCAAAATATGCAAAATGTGGATGCATCGGAATTCTTGTCATAAAAAATATCTTGAACCTTAAATTTTTAAAATCTTCCACTTTATTACTTATGTCCGATGTATTTCCGACATAAAAAAACAAATTTTGATCATTTACATTCAGAAATATGCATAGAAACTTGATTTGAATAGACCCACCCTTAATTTTTCTCTAACTGACGGCCATTTTTTATTTCTAAATCACGTGACTTAGATGATCGATGTTGATAAACAAACATCAAAGTCATGAACTAGAATGATTATAGTTATATAAAATCACATTTTAAAGTGATTTTATCGTAGGCCGGAAAATGGCCTTATAGAGAATGAACCTTTGTATGGAATTGTTGGCATATATTCTAAATTATATGTGTTTTATATTAAAAGATATTAAACTTTAAATATCAAATACAGTATGAAATACTTTGAATCATTTATTAACCCCTGCGTCAGACCAATTGGTCTCGGTATGACTAAAGAAGTAGCATTTATCATAGTACTAGAGAAATCCAACCCTACAACCTGCAATGTACACGTTCGGAAAGCAAGATACCAGGATTTGCTCTCAAAATGAGGTCCTATTTATTTTTACCTTTATACCTTAGTCTTTTTCCTTGCAATTGATTTACACTAGTGTTAAAATGTTAAATAAAAAGAAATATGTTGCAGAATATGTTTGTTTGAAAAAAATAACCAATTAGTTAATTAAATAATATACTCTTTTCTCAGAAACAAAACGCTGCACATATCTCAACATGTTTTCTAAATACTTCTATTTTCAAATAAACTGTTATAAGAAAGGTATAAATTGTTTATAAAATTGTCAGTTTTATTTTTTCTTTAAATGTTTGAAGTGGAATATATATACTTACCATCAGTATAGTATGCAAATGCAAAAAAGAAGACAAAAATTAAATGATTGTACATTGTGTCTTCACTCCCACAGAGATAAACCTTTTGTGACGATTACCATGATAACGTGTTTGTTATCGCAAGCAAATTCAAATCAAATACATATTATAAATAAAATTGATCCTTTACTGAAAAAATGGCATAGTTTCTTAAACATCAAATATCAAATATTTTTATGTAATCACTGACATCTTCAACCAATTACATTTGCTGGACCAGTCCTGAAACAACAACCATAAAAACATGCCATTATTCTTAATAATTTTCATTATAACTATTTTGCAACATTATTAGCAGAAGGTTTAATCAATGAACAGTTTAATGGTAATAATGAACAATTTAAATGTACGTATTTGTTCATTTTTACCGTTAAACTGTTCATTGAATCAAAATTTTCCTCTAGCTGGCCCCTCCTTCAAAATTGAAGGCACGTCACTGTAAATTACGTAAAATATACATGTGACAATAAACTTACTGATCTTGTTCACAGACAAAGTGATATGAATACGAGCACACTTCATCTCCCCATTCATTCCCATGAGGATACCACTTAATCATGCAATTCTCAGAAGTTCCTGTAGTTGGCTGTCCAGGGAAAAACATGTCAAATTTAATGGCAGTTTGAGTAGAAGAATATTCCCATCTTCCTTCTAACACATGATCAGAGATTCCAAGCCAATAGCTGTGTCCTGTAAATAATTATCACCAGGGGTGTTAGTACAACACATTCACATCCTGGTGTATTTATTTTGTGTCTGTTTTCCTTTTGTATTGTTATTCCCCAACTTTTAAAGATTTTATATTATTTATCAAAATAAAATTTTTTAAACCCTTTTAAAGACTTTATTAAGGACAATACCTAGAGTGTGACTGTAACTGATAAGAAATCTCGCCTCTTCTATCGTCATTGGCTCTGCCAGCTTCGAATGAAGTTGTGAACAAGTGTTCTGGTACATAGATAAAGAAATAAAAGAACAACCTGTAGAAAAATAATGTATTTTTTGAATAGTTAAGAATGCATATTAGGATAAAAAACCTTAACATATTTCATTGAATCTTATTAGATTCGTACTTATTATCTTTTCAT